TCACATTTACCAGCATCAGAAATTGCCACAAAATCCAGCTCATGTTCTCTCACACAATCACCGACGTGTTTATATTTAGCCAAGTCTTTAAGACCTCTGCTATTCCAAAACATGCCTCTCATGTGAAAACTCGTACTGATGTGGTAATCTTCGCTTTCTTAGGCGTTTTTTGTTTGTTTTTAGAGGAGTGTAGCTTAGATTTACGGGAAGACACCGTGTAGTCACAAAACATGGACTCGGGTCTCAGTTCATCCAGTCCAAAGCTGAAATAAACAAGCATATATTCTGACCATCGAATTCCCTGTCTTTCTGCACCAAAAATCATATATACCCCGAGCTGCTTCTTGCTTCTGAAATTCACATGTTCTTTCCTTTTGTGGATCTAGGATATGTTGTGCGGCTGGATTGCTTGGTTGGAGTGTCAAAACAAAGGAGACATGATGCCTTCTAGAAAAAGATTATTCAAGCTGAAACCGAAACTCCTCCTAGAAAAAGTATTCTCGAGTCTCAACTGAAGTCGCTACTACTTGCTACATGCACTCTGTTTTATTGCCTCTGTCCGGTACTTTGATGATTCAGATTTAAGCTCTGTTTTTGCTAGTAATAATTAAGGTCCCTGTCGGTGTCAAAACCGGCGGATCTCGGGTAGGGGGTCCCGAACTGTGCGTCTAGGCGGATGGTAACAGGAGACAAGGGACACGATGTTTTTACCCAGGTTCGGGCCCTCTCGATGGAGGTAAAACCCTACTCCTGCTTGATTAATATTGATGATATGGGTAGTACAAGAGTAGATCTACCACGAGATCGGAGAGGCTAAACCCTAAAAGCTAGCCTATGGTATGATTGTCTATCGTTCTACGGACTAAAACCCTCCGGTTTATATAGACACCGAAGAGGGCTAGGGTTACACAGAGTCGGTTACAATAGAAGGAGATCTACATATCCGTATTGCCAAGGTTGCCTTCCACGCCAAGGAAAGTCCCATCCGGAAACGGGACGAAGTCTTCAATCTTGTATCTTCATAGTCCAACAGTCCGGCCAAAGGTTATAGTCCGGCTATCCGGACACCCCCTAATCCAGGATCCCTCAGTAGCCCCCGAACTAGGCTTCAATGACGATGAGTCCGGCACGCAGATTGTCTTCGACATTGCAAGACAGGTTCTCCTCCAAATTCCGTATACCCGTTAAATAGTGTCCGACTTCTTGTAAATGCTGCGCTCCTTGGCTTCCACGCCCAGTAATGGCCACCTTCCACGTGTCAAGCGAATCTGAAAAGCCAGGGTATTTTTACATTTACCGCCCTAGCTATGTAAATGAGCTGCCTATTAAAGAGACGAGGGTTCAGATCCAAATCACACCATTCTCCCTTAGCGAGCATTCATTGGAGCGCATCCGACAGAGATCGATTCCATCATGGCCAGTCGACGCAGCTCCTCCTCTCGCTTCTCCAGCCCCAAGCCTGGAGATTGGGAGAGATGCTCTGTCCCGCACAGCAAACTAGTGACGCTTCAGACCAAGGGATTTCCCCCCCCCCAGCATACATGGTCCCGGTTCGAGCCGGCCTCGCCACCTATAATGGCGGAGAGCAAGCGGAGAGCCTTCCCAATCCCTCCAAGAGAGAGCGGGTATGCCTTGTCCCTCATTTGATAAGAGGGCTCAGATTTCCAATCCATCCATTTCTTCGGGGGCTCCTGGAGTTCTATGGCCTCTAGTTGCACAGCCTTACGCCTGCCTCCATATTGCATATTGCGGGCTTCGTAGCCCTTTGCGAGCTGTTTTTGGGCTGTGAGGCTCATTTCACTCTGTGGAAGAAGATGTTTTGCCTTGTGCCCCGTTCCCAGAAGGGGTCAATATATCAAGTGGGCGGAGCCGAAGTGTGGCGCATCGCTGGGACCGGATATTTATCCGGAACCCCAAAGAAGGTGTCCGAAGACTAGCCTTCAGAATGGTTTTACATAAAAGACGTCCCCCTCCCGGATCCTATTCGGATTGGCCTCCCTGATTTCGACAATGCTCCTTTGAAGAAGCGCCTAAGCTGGCGTCCACAGAGCCCCCAGGAGGAAGATGACAGGGACGTTCTTTACCTGATGAGCCGGATAAGGTCGCTAGCTCAATCCGGATTGACCATGATCGAGGTCATGGCCATATGCATTATGCGGGGGGTGTAGCCGCTTCAGTATAGAGGCCACCCCATGTGGGATTTCAACGGGGAGGATGATGCCACCCGCTGCGGCCGTAAGGGGCCGGAATCGGTTGCTGCTCTAGTAAAGATCTTTTCCACTTTGTACAAGGGAGAAGAGGAGGAATTCCTCCGTGTCAATCCACAGGGCGGATTTTCTATGTACAATCCTCCGAGCTGGGTAAGCTGACACTTTTTCTTGCCCATCCGTTCCATATTCCCATAGTTAAGTATTTCATCTTGCGATTTCAACGCAGGAGCTGCGCAAGGCCGTAAGGGAGATAAACAGCCCTCCTCCACAACCCGAGGATCCGGAACGGTCCCTCGACCCGGCCTCCCAAGAGGATCCGGACATATCTGTGGAGCTAATCGATAGGGTATTTTACCAACTGAGCAACGACAATGCCCTGGTGGCCATTACGGCCGATTACCCTGGGCTACTTCCAGCCTCACAGGTAACCGAGACCAAAGTCCCATCACTTCGAAAAGGATCCGTCCTTGCGTATTTTTGATTACCGTATACCAACGGTGTTTTGCAGGGGAGGCCCTTGAGGCGGAATGCCGAGCCTGCGGCGACTAGCCAACAAGGGGCTGCGAGGTCAGGCAGGCTGAAAAGAAACGCAGTCCGGACTGAGACACCGGCGCAGCGGTATGGCGCGCCGTCTTATTCCAAGATATCGTTCTCAGAGGCATACTAACGCCCGTGCTTTCTTTAGGAAAAAGAACGCTCGCCGGTATATCCGGAGAGGTCGCCAATCGCGCCTCCACCAGCCAGGCTCCAAGGCCGGATCCGGAAGCGGAAGCGAATACAAGGCGCGCGTCGGACGCTCCTCCGACAGAGGATGCAGACAGACTGTCCGCCAAAAATTCCGAGGTGGAGAGTGCCATGAACCACAGGCGTCGTCGGGCCGTTCTCCGTGACGCTTGTTTCTCCCAAGAGGCATTGGATGCCTTCAACTCGGGAGATGCGTACCTCCGTGCTGCTCAAAATGGTCTAGCCAGAGCCACGGAGCAGTATGTAAAGGACATACAGGTGAGAAAATTTGGTGATTATATATATCAGTAGCCCCTGAGACTTGAAAGAATTAGAATAACTGATTTAAGGATCATTTGTTATGCAGGTTCTTACAGAAAAGAATACCCAAATGTCCCATGAGCTGGAAGGGTGCAAAGCCCAACTTCAGGCCGCACTAGCCGCAGCAGGAGAGCCCAAGGAGACCCCCTCTGGTAATATATGCTTCAAATGATAAGTATCATGTAAAGTGCGTCGTATATGCAAATCTGACAATAAAATTGTAGATGACGCCGAAGTAAATTCAGATAAGCAACACCTCCTACGCCAGCTAAAGGCCGGTGAGAGCATGCTGACGAGGGTGAGGCAGGAGAAGAATGATCTCCTAGATGCCAACACCCAGCTGGGCGTGGAACTAAAGGATATTCGTGCCCAACTGTCGGACTCCGTGAAGAAGAATCGGCGGCTTCGACGCGGCATTTTTAGTAAGTGCTTGAACGAACTTTGAAAAAAGTTCGGCGACACTAGTAGAAAAAGGGTCTAATGTGAGACACACTAGTGTGGGTTTGAAGTTGGCCCGGCACTAAAGGCACCATATGCATTAGTACCGGTTCGTGTTGAGCCTTTAGTACCGGTTCGTGCCACGAACCGGTACTAAAGGGGTAGTGGCAGGCTGGCGTCAGGCCGGGTCCCCACGAGCCCATTTAGTACCGATTTGTGACACAAACCGGTACTAAAGGTCTAACCTATAGTACCGGTTCGTGCCATGAACCCACACTAAAGGGGACAAGCCTTTAGTGTGGGTTCGTGCCACGAACCCACACTGAAGGGGGCAATTTTTAAACTCTACCCTCCCCCCATATCGCCTTTTCAGTTTTGCAAAAAAACCAAAAGAAAATTAAAAAACTTCAAAAATTAAAATCCTTCGAGACGTAGTTATGTTACTACATCTAGTAGTTAGGGAAATTTAAAAATATAAATTTAGACATGTTTTGCAAAAAAGTGTAATGAAAACGTAAAACGGCTATAATTTTTGCATGCGATGTCGGAAAAAAATGTATAATATATCAAAATGTAGGGAATTAAAATCCGCATCCGATTTCAACCTACGGAAGTACGCGGCTAGACGTGCGTTATAGTTTATCCATCAAGCTGGCTTACACAGCTCCTGGCGATCTGATCTAGAGTTCAAAAAACCAACATGCGAAACATGAACTGCATTATTGTTGGATGCATTGATCGAGGCAGAGGTTGGGGTTATCCTCTTTTAAAATCAACAGAACAAATTAAACCATCAAAACACAGGTCTTGTTACTAGTAGTGGTGTAGATTAATTGTGTTTTGTACCAGTTCCCTGTTGGAGTCACTAATTCATAATCCATTGATGTTAATTTGCAGAATCTAGCTTCGTAGTGGAACACGTAAGCATACCAGGACCTGCTATCCTGCACTGGCACAACTGGGTTCATGAATCTGAGGAACTTGGTTGTAACACGAGGCGTGCAAATCAACGAACAGGTGGGTGAGCAGAGCAGGATACACAAACGAACAGGTGGAATATTTTGGTCGGCACTACACCGCCTGCCTTTCTGGTGTCTTGACGACATGATAAGGTGTCAAGGGAGGATGGCTTATGCACATGGCCTATGTCCACATTATTACAACAAGAACTTTTCGAAACTAAGGCAAGGTTATTACAAGTATTAATAATCTTAACAGAATCTGCGCACCGAAACAAGGTGCATTGCGACACTCCGTACGTGCCCACTGAAGTCTGATGATGTTGCTTTTTTCATTTCGACAAATCAGTCATGGGGCAGCACTCCGTTCTGCTGCTGCTGCTCCTATGGCTTTGGTGTACTCCACTTTGATCTTCTTCAATCTCACGACTACATTGCTCATGGTTATTCTCTGGTCAAGCGAGTCGCTGGAGCAGAGTAGGCCCAGCTCAAACATCGGCACAAGAAAGCCTTCCAAGCTGACAGTGGAAGAAGAGTCATGTATTAGCTGGTCATCCACGACATGGACAACCTCCCTAGGAAACGCCTCCAGCACCCACCGCCTGAGACTACGATCTCCAACAAAAAAGTCATCCTTGGGTCTCTTTCCAGTCAAGACTTCAAGGAACATGATTCCATAGCTGAATACATCGCTCTTTCTCGAAGCTTTTCCAAGGGACCCATACTCTGCTCATGGAATGAATTCATAAACAAAACGGAAATTAAATTAAGACAAATGACACACAACTAATTAACGCTTACATTAAGTATAGCATTTACATACCTGGTGCCATGTAGCCAACTGTGCCAGGCATGCTCGCATAAATCACAGAGCTATCATCACCAAGTAACAGCCTTGCGATGCCAAAGTCTGCGACATGTGCTGTCATGTCATCATCGCACAACACATTGCTTGGCTTCAAGTCACAGTGCAAGACCACCTCATGATGCTCATGGTGTAGATACTCCATTGCCATGGACACATCGATCATGATGTCCAACCTCTCTAGAACCCCAAGTTCCTTGTGGCTCCAGAGGAGTGAAGGAGCGTCTCTAAGCTACCATTGCACATGTATGGCAGCATCCCCTTTTCGAAAAAAAAAACATGTATGGCAGCACCAGTGCTCTGAAATCAAGGTTCGAGCAGGTGTTGAGGATCCTTACCAGATTGCGGTGCCGCGCCATGCGTAGCACACCATGCTCGGCATCGAAGCTTCTAATGGCTTGTTCCAAATGCATGTCAAGAACTTTTACTGCAACCACCACACCATTGCTTAGTTGGCCCTTAAAATCTTTTCCAATGCTTCCAGATCCCAACAAGTTGCTGTCGCTAAAATTTTCAGTGGCATGAACGAGGTCATGGTAGGAAACCAACTGATGGCCGATCATGTCAACCATACCTGTAGAAACTGCCATCCCTTGTTGCTTCTTGATTTTCTTTCGGATTATTACATATATGCATGAAGATACAACTCCAGTTACTACGATGATAGTAGGGAGCAAAATTTTCAACATGTGGTCTTTTGTTCTTTGGGTAGTGTTACTTGGACACTGTGAAAATCCTAAAGCTGAAGCACCACATAGGCCCGAGTTCCCCATCAAGGATTGTAGACTGATGTTTGAGAAGACACCTCCTTCTGGTATGCGGCCTTGTAGCTTATTGAAAGAGAGGTTCAAACTAGTTAGGTAGGTAAAATTGGTAAGGTACTCTGGGATGGTACCAGATAGATCATTATGGGATAGGTCCAAAGTTTCCATGCTTTCTAGCTTGTCAAAAGAACGATGAATCAAATTATTAGAAGAATTGTGTGATAGGTTCAGGTAGGCTATCATTTGGAGTTGTCCAATTGAATCCGGGAGGCTACCAACCAAACGATTGGTAGAGATATCCATGAAGTTAATTTGTTTCAGATATCCTATATCAAGCGGTAATGTGCCGTTGAAAAGGTTTTGAGAAAGATCAAGCTGGAGAAGACTAAAAAGATGAAATAAACTTGGCGGTATTGTGGATGATAACCGGTTATCGGCTAATTCCAGGTATACCAACTTGCTGAGGTTACCAATGCCATCTGGTATGCAACCAGTGAATTCATTATCATTGAGGAACAAAAATTCTAGATTTTTTAGCAATGTAATCGGAGATGGGATGGTGCCTAGCAAGTTATTTTCATAAAGGTCAAGCTCTTGTAGATTCTCCATTTTCATGATGGATTGTGGAATTACACTGTGTAGTTGGTTTTCTGAAAGATCTAGCACAATGAGACTGGTTAAATTTGAAATCGTAGGTGGAATTTCACCGACTAAGTTTATTCCCGATGCATTGAAATATTGCGGCTGGCCTGATAAATTTCCTACATATTTAGGGAGGTTACAACTAGTGAAATTATTTGATGCGATGCTAAGATATTGGAGCCTTCTAAAATTAGTGAACATGGACAAGAAGTTGAGATCTCCTTGTAGGCTGTTTTGTGCAATATCGATATGCACCAAAGAGTGCATGTTTCCAATTGTTGAAGGTACCGATCCAACCAACATATTAAATGCTAATCCCAGGTATGCTAATTTCGATAGGTTACCGAGAGAAGCTGGAATAGATCCCGTTAGTTGATTATCATGTAGACTCAAACCCGAGAGTTGACCTAGCTGTCCAAATTCTACTGGAATGCCTCCGGTTAGATTGCATTTACCGAGGTCTAGGGACATTCGCAAAGTGAGGTTGCCAAGTACAACAGGGATTGTGCCGACAAGGCCATTTTGACTCAAGGAAAGGAATATGAGATTAGTCAGCTTGCCTAGCCATGTTGGCACAACACCCCCAAATGAATTAGTGTCTAGTGAAATAATTTGGAGGTACCGACAAGATACAAACCCTAATGGAATCTGACCTGTGAAATAGTTTTCAGCGATGGCAATTACTTCCAGCATCGGGAGACTAAAACTTTTATTGCTAGGGATAGGACCAGTTAGGTTTAGGTTGGCAACAAAAGACATGGTATGTAGCTTGTCAACCAATCATGCCTTGGTTCAGTGAGAAACGTTGCTTTTCTGGCATGTTCCAACTCCCAATTAACGGGTGGTGCTTTCAACGCCAACTCTTTGTGCGTTTAGTGCAAACCCACTACACTAATGGAATATCATTCTGTTTACCTTTCTCTTTTACTGCCTGCTTCGTACGTACATGCGGTTGATGGCCATAGACAACGTAGCACATGCGGTTGTCAAGGAAGACGGCGTTGATGGCCATCCAGAGCGAGTACACCGTGTGCTCCCGCGAGGGGGAAGGGTTAGCGTTTTTGGAAAAAGAGGCAATACCCCCGGCCTCTGCATCAATCGATGCATGCAATCATCTTCTTAATAATGAAATAACAAAGTCTTAGGGTCACTAGGAGCCCATAATTAAAGTGCCAAACGAAATAAAACAAAAGAAAAAGCCACATCAAGCGATACAGATCAAACTACGATGCCTATACAGCTAGTCTATTATCAGCAAGCCATCCAAATCAGTTGAAGATAGCTCGTGCTATCGTCTCCCAACGGTTGCACCTAGTAACCAAAAGCTCTCTGGAGTCCACATGAGTGAGTAATAACCACATACGGATCCACGTTGTAGCTCTGTAGATTACCTGCAAAAAGCTCATGAAGCTTGTCCCACTAAAAATCATATCATTTCTAGTATTCCATATCGCCCAAAGTAGTGCACATATCCCTATCCGAATATGTTTCGGTGTATGTATGTCCACTCCATTGAGCCATGTGCCAAATAACGTGTTTATGCTCGTTGGGGAATGTATGTTGAAAGCTATATGAATTGAACACCATAATAATTTTGCAAGTGAGCACTCGAGAAAGAGGTGCTTAATCGTTTTATTGTGATCACAAGAACACCATCTGGAGTTACCGATGTAGCTTCTTTTAAGCAAATTATCTTTGGTCAAAATGACTCCTTTGTGAGCAAACAATATGAAAATCTTAATTCAAAGTGGAACTTTGATTTTTCATATGTGTAAAGACCTAGACAATGGCCCTGAATCAATTAAGTCCAGATACATAGATTTCACTGAAAAGATCCCGTTCATAGCTAACTTCCAGTGAATCGTATCCTCGTGGTCCAATAGTTGAACTTCCATCAACCTGCGGACAAGGTGCAACCACGCATTCCACCAATCCCCTACTAGGGATCGCCTAAATTGGATGTTAAGCGGTACCGAATTTAATACGGTGGCGACAAAGTCATCCTTTCGTTGCATAATACTCCCTCCGTCCGGAAAAAGTTGTCTCCATGGCGTTTTTGCAGAAAATCCCTTCCCAAACTCCCGACACAACCCGCACTCCTCGTCTTCTCCAATCGACACACCCCGCCACTCCGACACGGCGCATCGACGCCGGAGCTCCCCTGCTCAGCTTCGCCGTGCTGCTCCCCTGCTCTCCCGCGCGTCCTCCTCCGCCACCGGGGATGCCTACACCACCGCTCCCTCCTGCCTCGCGCAGCTCCCCTGGCCCCCTTGTCTGCCTCCCAAATCTCCCCTCTTTCACCTCCAAAGTCGTTTCTTCTTCCTCCCGCTGCGTCTTCTGCTTGCGCGCGGCGGCGACACCTCCTCCTCGTTGCCCCCGACGCCGGAGGAGGCACGGGGCAAACAGCAGTGTCTCGCGCTGCACTTGCGCCACCTCGGGTGCGCGTGGGCCTATGCGCCGGTCGCCGCCTCGGCCGTGCGCCAATCTGCAAAGGAGGAGGAAGGGGATTCCGTTCGCCACCAAGGCGTACTGGGTATGCTCCTCGAGTCCCCGCTCTTCAGGCCCCTCCTCACCTCCCTCATCAAGAAGCAGAACAACATGACGCAGGTCCTCTCCTCCTTTGTCAGGATCCAAGAAAGCTCATCGGCGGCCAGGCAAAGAGAAACCAGAGCAGGGGCCTCTATAATCAAGGCCAAAATTTCATCAGCATCCACATCGTAGTTGCCGTCGACGATCAATGCTTTTAGTGAGGAGGAGGAGATCTTGACATTGCCGGTGGTCAAGAAGTAACAGTTTTCCAGTTGCACCTCCTCCAGAACAGGGCAGCGGGAATTGATGTGGCTCGCAAGATCATTCAGGTTGAGATCGTCAAGGTTGGAAAGACGCAAGATTTTCAGCCGGCAAGGCCATGATGATGTACCAATATCTTGGAGGATGGTGCTGCGGACCAAATCCCAATCCCAACGCCCCCAAGTTGCGTGCAGCCGGAAGTCTTCCAGGAGCGTCGATGTCAAGGCACGGCACGGCGCGCCAGAGGTTCCTCCACCTCGTGGACAGGACGCACGCCTGCACCATCTGCAGGGCCTTGAGGCGCGACAGGATGGCGTGCAGGAGTTCGTCCGGCAGCGCGCTCAGACGGTCGTCGGCATGGCGCGTACGCTTCGGCACTGGCCTTAGTATTTCCGTTGGTGTCGTCAGCCAGCTCGCAGGGTAGGAGAAGATAGCTGGTCGAGATTAATCTGCTGATTGCAGCGGCGGCGCCGCCATGTGCAAGTTGAGGGAATTGGGGATCTGATATATGTCTATCGCTTTTTTTTCCTTCCATTTTACCTATTGCTGGGTAGGCATGTTGCGGGCAGGTATTAGTAGATACTCCTTTCGTTTCAAATATAGTGTTTTCTCTATTTTCATTCTTCAACTTTGACCGTAAATTTAATCAATAAGACCGACTGCGACGGAAGCAAAAGTTATACTAGTGAATTCGTATTCAAAAGAAGTTTTCAATTATATAATACTTTCTTCCGCCGCAATCGGTCTTGTTGGTTAAATTTATGGTTAAAAAAGTGCGGGCACACTATATTTTGGAATTGAGGGAGTAGCATTGTATGACACGTGCTAGGCAAACTTACATTATTTATTCATTTATTATTTATTTTTGACATGAAGACAGGATGGTTCACAAGGCAAGGCCATAGGAGAGGCACACGCCTCGTATTTATATCTATAGATGTGCCCTTATTATTCAAAAATGCTACACTTACGCAAATCTGTCACGGGCTGATCTTACGGACCCCTTACTCGCCAACCCCCCTCCCGATTTTCACTGCTGGGCCCCGTCCTTTCTAATCTTCTCCAACCATATTTTGACACATGAGTCCGTTTATGGGCCAACTGTCCACGCCTGCAAAGATGCGTTTTTTGCCGAGCTTATCTCCCACAAGCCTCCTAATGGGACTGCATGGCTGGCCCTTGGGGATTTCAACCAAATTTACCGTGCACGCGACAAAAACAAGAGAATCTTCAACCGGCGTAGGATCAATCGCTTTCGGGCTGCGCTACAATCTTGTGAGCTCAAGGAAATTCACCTCCAGAATCGGCGCTTCACCTGGAGCAACGAGCGGAGCAACCCAACTCTCTGCAAGCTTGACTCCTTCTTCTGCAATGCGGAGTGGGATACGACCTTCAGCACCCATGTTCTCCATGCTCTGTCATCTTCACTCTCCGACCATTGCCCCCTGCTGCTTGCTGATGATAAAGGGCCCAGGAGGCCTAGATCCTTCAAGTTTGAAAACTTCTGAGCTTCTTTGCCTGGCTTCTCCGAGGTAGTGCAAAAGGCCTGGGACGAGCGAGTCGGGCACTCGGAGCCGTACCAAGTTCTGTACCATAAGCTAAAAAAAACTGCGATCCGTCTATCTGAGTGGAGCAAGAACTTGTTCTCCAAGGCTAAGGTTCAGCTCCATGCGGCCCTGCTTGTGATCCTCCACCTCGACATCGCGCAAGAGGAAAGGGCTCTCTCTCATGAGGAGCGAGACTTGCGCACGAGACTCAAGCGAAGGGTGATTAGCTTGGCGGTTCTTGAGAGGGCTAGGAAGAGTCAATGTGCTCGGTTGGCAAACTTGAAGTATGGGGATGCAAACACAAAATTCTTCCACCGACGCATCAATGCCAGAAGGAGGAAAAACCACATTCACCGGATCAAACATGTGCATGGGTGGGTGACCGAACACAAGGAAAAAGAGAAGATCATACATTCCCACTTCACTGAGATCATGGGTACAGGATGCAGTAGCAACAAAGACTTCAACTGGGAGGAGCTTCGAATAGAGACCCATGACTTGCACGACCTGGGCAACACCATCACGGAAGAGGAGGTTTGGGCGGCCATAAAGGAGATGCCTAGTGATAAGGCGCCCGGTCCGGATGGCTTCACAGGGATCTTCTTCAAGAAGTGTTGGGGCATCATCAAGCTTACGGTCATGAGAGTCATCCAGTGTTTTGACTCTCTCCACACCTCCAACCTGCATTGGCTGAATTCTGCCAATGTTGTGCTATTGCCCAAAAAGGAGGGAGCGGAAGGCATATCTGATTACAGACCTATCAGTCTCATCCACGCCATCGCAAGAATGATTGCCAAGGTCCTTTCGCTCCGGCTGGCTCCACACATGGACTGCCTTGTCTCCAACGCGCAAAGTGCATTCATAAAGAGGCGTAGCATACATGACAACTTCATGTGCGTTCGTAATTTTGCTAGGCGCTTACACAAGTGCAAGACCCCGTCTCTCCTTTTCAAGCTGGACATAAGAAAGGCTTTTGACTCCGTCAAGTGGGGCTACATGTTAGATCTCCTTCAGCGTTTGGGTTTCCCGGATAGGTTCCGGGCTTGGATTGCCGCACTCCTATCCTCGTCATCGTCTCGTATTCTCTTAAATGGCATCCCCGGCCCTCCCATTAAGCATGGGAAGGGGTTCCGGCAGGGGGACCCCATTTCCCCCCTGCTTTTCGTCATCGCAATTGATCCGCTGCATAAGATTCTGGATTTGGCAACCCGAAAAGGCCTTCTTCACAAGATTCGTGGGCGGGGGCCTACGGTGAGAACCTCCCTTTATGCGGATGATGCTGCTGTTTTTCTGGCTCCTATCAAAAGGGACGTTGACAATCTTGCTTCCATATTGAGAGGCTTTGGCGAAGTGACAGGTCTATGCACCAACTTTCAGAAAAGCTCCGTGGTGCCAATTCGATGTAGTCATCTTAATCTTGGGCACACTCTTCAGAGCTTGCCGGCATCTCGTGCTACTTTTCCGGTGAAGTATCTTGGCTTGCCTCTCTCTGTTTGGCAGCTCAGAAAGGTGGATTTCCAATACCTTGAGGATAAGGCGGCGAGCAAATTGGCCACTTGGGACGGACAAAATATCACTACCATCGGCCGCACGGCACTTGTCAAATCGGTCATTTCATCCCAAGCGACCTACTCAATCACGCCTCTCATTGTGCCGCCAAGTACGCTCAACAATCTAAATAAATTGGAGAGGTCGTTCCTATGGTCCGGTGCGGATAAGACAACGGGAGCCAAGTGCAAAGTCAATTGGAAAATAGTTTGTAGGCCAAAGGAATATGGTGGCCTGGGGGTACTCAACACCGAAAAATTTTCGCGGGCTTTACGTCTTCGTTGGCTATGGTATGAATGGAAGGAGCCCCACAAGCCTTGGGTGGGGTTTGGTAACCCTTGCACCGCCGAGGACCTCGAGTTTTTCTATGCCTCTACAACTATCACTGTGGGTGACGGTGCAAAAACACCGTTCTGGGACTCACCTTGGCTATTTGGGCGGAAGCCCATGGATATTGCTCCATTAATCTATGAGGCTTCAAGGAGAAAGAATTGGAAGGTGCGTGAAGCCCTCTATGAGAATGCATGGATTCTCAAAATCAATCCAAACACTGTTATCTCCATTCGCCACATTAGCGAATTCTTCACTTTTTGGATGCTTGTTCATGACTTCCCTCTTGACGACCAAGCCGAAGACGACATTACTTGGAAGCACGCGAACGATGGGATCTACTCGGCGGCCACTGCGTACAGGGCTCTGTTCCTTGGATTGACTCTCTCTCCCATGGACCGTATGGTTTGGAAGGCTTGGGCACCCCCCAAGGTAAAATTCTTTGCGTGGCTTGCCCTGCAAGACCGAATTTGGACCGCCGATCGATTGGAGAAGCGTGGTTGGGTCAATTGTGGTCTTTGTCCACTATGCAAGAGAGAGCAAGAAACGGGGCCACACCTCTTCTTCAAGTGTCGTTACACTCTTAGGCTTTGGAGATCTATCATCGAGAAGCTTGGGCTACCTCACGTCAACATTCCCGATTGGCATCTTGATGAATCTGTCAAGGAGTGGTGGGTCAAGCGTACCGATGACCGAAACCCGAATTGGCATGCCATGTCCTCTCTCGTCATGCTCACCTCTTGGACCATTTGGAACGAGCGAAATGCTAGGGTATTTCGGCAAAAATTTGCGCCGCCGCCTATTCTCCTCCAAACCATCATTGCTGAGGCAAAGTTATGGGTTACTGCCGGCGCCAAGAAGCTAGGGACTATCATTGTATGTGAGTAATTGCCATGTCGTTTGTATGGGGTGTCCTGTAAAACTCTAAACTCTATCCTCTCCTTATTTAATAGATGAGGCAAATCTTATGCCTTCGTTTCGAAAAAAAAAACACATGAGTCCGTAACATCTGTCCTGTAGAAATATGTCCATAAGTCTAGCATTGTTGCCTTGTTATTACACATCTAAATGACTTAATCAAGCATAAAACAGAAAAAAAAGAAAAATAAAACACCCACACGAATCTCTGCATAAGATCAATTACATAGAATTTAGATGTGCAATACTTATGGCGCATCTCGATGTGCTTTAGTAAAACTGATCTAGATGCGCCCTTGTTATTACACATCTAAATGACTTAGCGCAAAACAGAAAAAAAAAACACCCACATGAATCTCAGCGCAATACTTATGAACACACGCCTCGTATTTTGGTAGGACTAAATTGACTGATCAATTCCACCGAGCTCCTACAATGGCCAACCTCCCGTCCCCGACGACGGTGTACGAGGCAAGGCTCATTGAGATCCCGGGCTACTCCAAGCTGTGGCAAATGACCCCCGCCTCACTGTCGACACGTTGCTCTTCCGCGGCCAATTTTGGCAAGTCAAGATGTTGCCCTGGGATTTCGTCAAGGGTATACCCGACTTTGTGTCTGTCTTTGTCTTTACTCGTGGGCATGGAACACTCTCTGATCCAGGCGCCAGCATCACCATACATATCCTGGACGAATCCTGGTCCTGGGAGCGCACCGCCTTCCACGAGGTGTGCCAAGTCACCGTCGACAACGGACTTGCGGGCATGAGGGTCATGAGGAGCGAGTTGGAGGCGGCATCTTGTGTCCACAATGCCAGGTGCACTCTCATGTTCTTCGACGCGAAGAAGTACAAGAAGCAGCAGCGGGCAGCAGCTAGGGCAGAGTGGTGGCGACGGATTAGAAGCAGCTTATCCAAGAATATTATACTTCTAAGGAGCAACTCCAACCATAGATCAACAAGCTCGAAGTCCAAGCCTAACAAGGTGCAGAGAGCTGTCATTGTGGAGCAGCCGAGAACAAGGTCCAGAGATCTTATGTGATCACCGCTAGCTGGCTGTCGCTGATGAGGGCATATCAGCTGATCAGTGTCCCTGGCTACTCTAAATTGTCGGGGATGCCTCTTACCTCCTCGGTGACTCTCCAGAAGTTTCGCTTCCTTGGTCACAACTGATCCGTCAAGGTCTACCCCGACTGGTTCAGCGAAGGGTGTGCCTAGACTTAACCAAATTTTAGTCAAGTGACACAATATATAAAAAAAAACCTTATTTTTGCACATATCTTCACCTAAGATCTCATGAATATAGCATCAATTAAGACTCGTTAAGTCTCAGCCGACTGAGATTTAGCAATCCCGTTCAACGAAATGTCAGCCGACTTTTTCACCTTGTATATAATTCTTTCATAAAGTTGGTCAAACATAAAATGTTTAACTTATGAAAAAACTAATATGCACTGTGTTTTAGAATGGAGAGTGTACTGCAATACAAGAACTTGACGTCAGCCCATCAAAAAGGATTCTTCTCATCAATTAATAAATACTAGAAGGGTTGAGCGCGCTTTGCTGCGCCGCCGGTGTTGTTGAGTTTCTTTTAAAAAAAATACCCACTCTGTTTTAAAATATAAGGTATATTACTTTTTTTGAAAAGTAAAACCTTTTAAGTTTGATCAACTTTCTAGCGAACTATATAAAAATCGATAATATCCAAATCGATTAGATTCGTCATGAAATGAATTCCCTACTTTTTTTGTTCAATATTGTGGATGTCGATATTTTTTGCTCTGAACTTGGTCAAGTTTAAAGATATTTGACTTCTCAAAAAATAAGACCCCTTATGTTTTGGAACTGATGAAATATCCAGTTTGACGGGTGGGGAAGATGATGGAGTGTGTTTATTTTTATTTATAATGCGGTGATTTGATGGGCCCTTCGTTGTGTAGTTTTGTGTTATCTACTAACCAATGTATATTTATGTGTGAAAATTTCGGCGTTGGTAACTGCATGTACTAGTATCATATGGTGGTGCTTTTTTTTCTAGATGATGGGTGGGTCCGCGGGGATGATATGTTTTCATAGACCAGTTGTTGTTGTTTGATTTGAAAAATCGTTAGTCCGGTCAAAATTGTAACCAAATTTAAAATTGAATACCTCAATTGAAAAAAAAGAGCTTCAAAATTAGGGAACATAGGAAATTAAAAGAATTGAATGGGAAAGCTCTTTGAGAAATTGTTGAGTAGGTCAAAATTGGGTGACCAAGTTCTAAATTGAAGAACTCAATTAATTTTGAGGCCATGAAAATTAGAATGTATAGTGTATAGTACTCTCTCCGTCCCAAAATTCTTGTCTTAGATTTATCTAAATACAGATGTATCAAGTCATGTTTTAGTATTAGATACATCCGTATCTAGACGAATCTAAGACAAGAATTTTGAAACGAAGGGAGTATAAAAGAATTGAATGGGAGAGCTTTGAGAAATTATTGACCCGTTCAAAATCGGGTGACCGAATTACAATTGAAGACCTTAATTGAACGTAAGTGATCTCTTTAAAACTAGGGAGCATAGTGTTATAAAGGATATAGACACGCTCTTACATGCCGATCGCATGCATGGCATCGGCAAAGCACCGCTGGAAATGCTGCATGCCGCCCGCAGGAAACGTTAGTCCCACCTCGACACCACCATCGCCGTTGCGTGCATCTGCCACCGGCATCGCGCCAGGCATCGCTCCAGACACCGCCACCACCTTTGCCGGCCTTCCGAACCCAAAGTCGACCTGATACACGCGGAACCTCGGCGACCCCACCACGAACATCATGCCGGCCTTTGCGGCCTCCATCACCCTCTTGCCGCATCCGTCCCACCTCTCCTGCGACCCCTCACCCACCACTTCCTCGAGCGCGTTCGCGATCGCCGTGAATGCCCGGAAGAGGCCTCCCGTGCCGGATGCCGTGAGCTCGTCGTGGCACGCGACGGCAATGGCCGGGATGCTGCAGTTCCCAAAGTATGTGGCGGGGAGGGGCGGCTTCAACCGCGCCCGGTGATCCACGGAGAAGAGGAAGTGGGTTGTTTTTGCTTGGCTTTGTTCCTGTTCCTGTTTGGCTCGGTAGTAGCAGGACCAGATGAAGCTGTAGGCGGCGAGCGTCGACGAGCATCTCCGCGGCGGCGCACCGTGCCTCGTCGCCTCTCCGGCGAGCGCGTCCTTGATGGCAGTTAGGATTTCTTGAGACAGCGTCAAGGTGGCGACGAGCTGGTCGTCGGGGACAGAGGACACGCTGGTGGTCACGAACTCGATCTCGTTGCCGCCGCTGGGCATTCCTTGGCAGTAGATGTGGTAGAGGCCCCTGGGGTCAGCGACGAGCGTATGGTCCAACACGGGTGGCGGCGGCATTTCGACAGCACCGTTGCAGAGGGCGGCCCAGGTGTGCAGGAGGTGGGTGGAGCTGGCGTCGTCACCGGCGGTGTGGTGCATAGTTACGCCGAGCGCGAGGCCCCGCCCACCGAGCAGCACTGTGGCCTGCAGGGCGAGCACGGCGCGGCCCTTGGGAAGCGACGGCACGAGAGGCGCGAGCATGGCGACCTGCACGGGGCCATCGCTGGTGAGATCGTCGATGTCGGCGTCGTACTCGGCGACGGTGAAGGAGACGCCATCGCCCGGCTGGTAGAAGAGCTCGTAGCGGTTGGTGTGGGGGGCGAGACAGACATGGCCGGCGAGCGGGTAGAAGAGGTTGAGCGCCTTGGAGAGGGATGCCCTGAGGTCGGAGAAGAGCTGCTGGACATTGCCGTGGTGGTGGTGGTGATCCTGGAGACGGTAGAGGAAGAGGCGCTGGACGGGCGGCCCGCGGAGCCATTTGACGTCGAAGAAGGTGAGCGGGAGGGAGTGCGGCGGGAGGTCGTCGTCGGATGGCGTGACAAGGGCGGTGTGCAGGACCCGGAGATTGCTATCGGCACCCATGTTGTTGGATGGATATGATGGATGTGCATCGTATATTCGTAATCACTATTCCTATATATAGTGAATAGTGATAGTGCATGTTATACACTGTAGGTGCAGGAGGCAGGTGGGTAGGTAGCAGCGTGGCACCTCCAGTATGTCATGGAGGGAAGCACGTGATGGGTAGGTAGGAGTACGTAGCAGCGTGTCACCAGCTTGTTCTGCTTAATTAGACATTTTGTTAATCTGCGTTGATCCGTATGTGGTCGCTATTCACTCTGACAGAGGTCAGGGAGCGTTTAGTTACTGGGTCTACCCGATGAAAGATGGTAGCACGGTATATTTTTAACCGGTTTGAATGGCGGTCATGTAATAGCATAGACATTTAGTGTTCCTACCTTTTTATGCCAGGCGGTTGTGTCTTTTCTACTATTGTTTAGCTCTTTGTGAGCCTTTTTTTTCTTCCTTATTCGAGACTTGGAGACTTATGTTGAACCTTTAGCTTTTTAATAATATTAGACGTATGCATCGTTCTGATGCAGAGGCTGGGGTTATCCCTCTTTTTGAAAAAAAGCATTTTCTTAATGATACTTGCTTTTGGAGGCACAGCTCCATCGGGGCCTCAATTTGCAATTTCCAAACATATTTCTATGTTTCAAAAAAAATCTAAAAAAACACATATAATGTACACACGAGTAATTTTTTTGGACGAAATATGTTGAAATGACGGCTGTGAACAAAAACTGGGGCTCTTTAGCACATGATACTATTCATTCTCAAAGTCCATGAATTTATTTATTTTTGTACATGTTACATTTCAATGTACTTCATCTTGAATCTTTACACACATATATAATTCATCCTTGTATACGTATTTGTTTTCAGAATGTTTTTAACCAGGAAGTTTGAATTTTGAATTTTTATAAAATTTCAGGCTCCATGGAGCCCGGTCACCAAAACACCCCACTCTTTTGTTAATTCTTTCTCTCAGCTTTTGAAGCAGTTTCCTATACAGGAAAAAAAACCGAAGCAAACAAGCTTTTTTTATGTCCGCCACTGCCAGCCCACTATAATACAAACAAACACTACTGGAATAACCCTATATGCCTACGGCTTTATCTATGCCGACGGCTTTTTGTCGGGGCCATCGGCATAACTCGAGCTACGCAGACAGCCTGGGAAAAGCCGTCGGCATAGAGAAGCCGTCGGCATACCTCCATCTATGCCTACGGCAGCCGTAGGCATAGTTAGGCCGTCGGCATATATCGATCTATGCCTACGGTGGTCGTAGGCATAGTTAGGCTGTCGGCATAGATGTGGCCCTGGTGGCCCAGGGACAAACGGCGGGCTGACGCCGTCAAATCTATGCCGACGGCCCTGACGGCGGCCGTCAGCATAGATATTATCTATATTTTTTTACTAGGAGCTGCAGAGGCCGGGGAGATCCCCTTTTCGAAAAAAAAGAAAAAAGAAAAAAAAACTAGGAGCTGCCACGTGGCAGATCTATGCCGACGGCAAAGCCGTAGGCATAGTTTTCCATCTATGCCTACGGCCTTGCCGTAGGCATAGCCCCGCCACGTGGCACCTCCTGGCAGCCCCTGGCCGAGAACTATGCCTACGGCATGGCCGTAGGCATAGATATTATTTGTTTTTATTTTAAATTATTTTTATTTTTAAGTTAAATTTTGTTTAATTTAAATCTAACTTATCTAAACTTAAACATACACAAATTATACATCGATTTAGGGTAGAATTTTCCATAGATTATGAATATCCAGTTTGTTTTTGTTTTTGAGTATGTTAGAAATGTGGCCTCCTGTACTTTTGCATATAGGTCCTTCTGCTTTATTAAAATCATAAGTAATTGATACTTGGATTGATTTTGACAAAATTCATATGGTTTTTATCAGAATCTTGAAAGGATTATGTGCTATACTATGTTTCAAATTTGAACAAACTTAAATCATGTTTGCTTCATCAGACTGTTTCAAGGATTGTGGTGGCGGGTGCAAAGGCAACTGGCTCAGGAGTGTGACCCTTCATGGACGCCGATGCCGTTGTCACTTGGAGGCAGGAAACGGCCATGTCGGGTTGACACGAAGGGAATCTTATGGTGGGTTTGTCCCAGACCTTGTTCTCAAGTGTTCCTATGGGCCGACCTATCACAACCAGGTGAAAACGTCCATTGGTCAAAGATCGTCCGGTGAAAGTCAAAGGCGTAGATTTCCGGGTCAACTTGTCCAGGGTTCGGCTGACCGGGGGCCTTGGTGGGGGACAATGCCACCAGAGCATCGCGCCGAGTCCTCATACATGTCGAAAGATGTGGTGCCATGTCTAAAGAGGCAATACGCGGCTCCAGTGTGAGGTTTGCCCTCATGAACGGCGATGCAATCGAAGTAATCCTTCTGCGGTTTTGGCGTTGCATGAATATTCCTGAACACTTGAAGCGTAATCAATTCATGAGATTTTTACACAGTGCAGACACATATTATATAATATGTGTGGCAATTTCTTATATTTTTGTAAGATGCAGGAGTATGTGAAAAAATCCCCCACCATGGATTGTTCTTCGCATGTCTACGAGTGTGGTCGGGGGCCTTTGGGGGCTAGCTATGCCATCAAATCTTGCGCCAGGTCCTCTTACATGTCTGGAAGTGTGTTGTCAGGTGCAAACAAACGACACGCGGCTCCGGAATGTGACCCCCTTCACGGAAGGCGC